AGAGAGAGAGAGAGAGAGAGAGAGAGAGAGAGAGAGAGAGAGAGAGATTGGGGTTCAAGCTGAAGGGAAGAAAAGCAATGCATTCAAACCATTGGAGAAGTCTTACCTCTACCAAGACTGGGCAACTGCATACTAAGCCCTAGGCCTCTGTCTCTTTCCCTCTTATATTCCCCTTTAGTGCTAGAATTAAAGGCATATGACTCCCTAGTACTGAGATTAAATGTGTGCTTCACCACCAGCTGGATCTGTTTCTGCATTGATCTTATGTAGTGCAGGGTGGACTTGAACTCACAGAGATCCATCTGCCTCTCTCTCCTAAATTCTGCATATAAGGTGCGTGCCACCACTGCCTGACCTCTGGTGGCTTAATGTTGCCCTCTGATTTTTAGGTGGTTGTAGTTTTCTGTAATGATCTCTGGCTGTTACAAAGAGAGGTTTTATTGGTGAAGGTTGAAGACTGCTCTTATCTGTTGGTATAAGGACAAATACTTAATGGATTATGGTTAGGAAATACTTAGTTTAGTAAAATTATGATTGTAGATTCTCCTCCAGTAACCAGGATTTTACTAGTACTGAACAGTTAGCCAGGTTTCCAGTACCAGGCATGGTATGCCTCCTTTTGAGTGGGTCTTAAGTCTAATTAGAGATATGTTGGTTACTGCCATGGTATGCATGGCAGTACTGCACCCAAAGTGTAGTCATGCCATTCTGGTTGCCTCTGTGGTTCATAAATGTCATAGCTGGGTAAAACTGTTGATTGTCTTTCTTTCTTTCTTTCTTTCTTGCTTGCTTGCTTGCTTGCTTGCTTGCTTGCTTGCTTTCTGACATTGAGATGGCTCAGTGGATAGACTACTTGCCACAAATGCTTGACAACCTGAGTTTGATTCCTAGAACCCATATAAATATAGGAGATAACCAATTCTATAGAGTTGTTCTCAGGCTTCCACATACACACCATAGCATGTATGTGCCTCCCCCCAGCCCCACATCATAATTCACAAAATAATAATAATAAATAAATAATTTGACATAATCGTGCATAGATGTCAGTGTTCAGGAAATGGTCTTAATGCAGGAGTACTGGGTTTCAATTTATTCTTGGATGAATTTGAAACTTATATTGGTTGTTGTGTTTATAGTCAGTAAATTCAGTTAAGAAAATATTATTATGCTGGGTGTGGTAGTACATTGCTTTTAATGCCAACACTTCAGAGCAAGAGACAAATAGATCTCTTGAGTTTGAGGCTGGCCTAACTACACAGTGAGTTCCAGACCAACCAGAGCTATATAGTGAGACCCTTTTCTAAAAGAAAATACTATGGATACTCATGCTGTTTGTTCACGATTTGACAAGTTCTGGAGGGCTGTAAATAATAGTCATTGTGCTTAGAGAGCTTCTGGTCTGGCTGGTTAGTGATGGTATGGAAGCATCCTCTTGCAGAGAAATATGTAGCTAAGGTTCTTTGTAAAAGAGTGGGAAATGTATGCTTGGAGGCAACCAGAATGGTGAGTGCTTACCTGGCACTATCAATAATATAACATAACACAGTGACTAACTTCATATCAAATTAAAAATTGAGACCTATTACTCCTTTGCTGTGAGACTTAGGACATATGACTAAGGCTAAGGTCATTTTCCTGTCTCGTCTGAGCAATGGAAACTGCCCTCACACACTTTGCTGCAATGTTATATGAAAGAAAGGAAACAAATTGTCAAGTGAAGCTCTGGCTACTGGGGAGCGATTAAGATTTTTTGGTACTGTGACATGATGAAATTTGAACCATAATGGGCTTTTCTTATGTTTATTTTTACTATTGATATACAAAAAACTGCTGTCCTTTGAAGCAATGGATTTTTTTATGTATGTGTAACTCTTCATCAGCCGCAGGATCAAAATAAATTTATCCATCACTTTGAAGTTTTTTGTAAAATCTTTTAAGTGGGATGGGCAGGAGAGTAGAGCAAAGGAGCACCTAGAAGAGAAGAAATCATTTCATTCAAAGAAATCAAACCATTTCCTGCCAGGCCAGGACAGAGAAGTAAATGATGTCATGACCTCAGTGGGTTTAGCCTTCCATATGGACAGTGAGCTCTTATGTGCCACAAGAAACAAGTTTTTCCTTTATGAGAATCCTTATTTTAAACTAATTCTCTCTTTCCCCCTCCCCCTTCCCCTATACCTGTTTAGGGCTTCAAAGATAACCCTTCTGCTTCTGGGACGTCCAGCCTAATGGCCACCAAACCATTGCTTCGACCAAGAATCACGAGAATCTGCCTCAGGGACTTGATATTCTGTATGGAACAGGAAAGAGAGATGAAGTATTCTCGAGCCCTATACCTTGCCCTTCTGAAGTGATCACTCCATCCATCTATCCATCCATCCTTCCATCCTTCCGTCCATCCATCCAGACGCTCACTGTTTACTGCCAAAGAAGATGTGGAGAGCGCTGTTGCCCTGTCCTGAGATCCACTCTGGGAAACAGTCCCCAGTGTGGAAGGCGACTGCTTACACTGACAGGCTTGCTCTTTCTGTTTCCTTTTCTAAACTACATTTTGTCTGTGTGTCCTGTGGGTTTTTGCAGATGAGAATTCAGATGCTTTCTGAAGGTCAGTACTTTAGAGTATACTTTATATACTTCTATATATACTTTTATATAGAAGTATCACCTACCCACCTGCATTCAATTACAGCAGCTAGGGGCTCCCTCTTACCGTCTCCGTTTTCTGTTTGTTTTATTTTTTCACACCATAGCAATAAGGTACCCCTTTCTGATACAGACTGCATCTAGATATAGGAGAAAGGAAGCATCAGAATATATCCTATACTGAACCTATCTCCTAGTGTTAGATTTCATGTCTGCAATTAGAAGTTAGGTAGCTAACTGTGACAGGTACCTTCTGAAGTCGACATGTGACAAGCCACAGCATAGGGTCACTATTGACTTGAATTAGCTGAGCTAGAATTACAAACACAGCTGATGGGACCATTTGTGCCTGAGGTTGCTGTCTCTCTGGCTCCCCACACTGCACTGTTTATACCTAGTGAGGCATCCTTGTCAGCTAAGTATCAAAGCTGAAGTTGCTACTGATATACCTCACTGAAAAATGGAAAATCTACTAGAAGGAATATGAGTCCTTGCATTCAAATTGACAAAGAAAGAATGAAAATGGCAATATGAAACAGATATGTATACCATGTGCCCAAGGAAGGTGGCTGCACTTGGAATGACAAAGCTGGTTCTTGTTTTGGTGATGGCAAAAAAAGAAAGAAAAGAAAAGAAAAGAAAAGAAAAGAAAGAAAGAAAGAAAGAAAGAAAGAAAGAAAGAAAGAAAGAAGAAATCATAGGTCAACCAAAGAAGAAAACCTGGCAAACATTTAGTTATAGTATTTCAAAAGATGATGCCTTTTTTTTTTTTTGTATTATCTTATTTCCCAAGATGGAGGTCTTTCTTTTGTAAAGAATCTCCCAGTTATATTATGTTTTAAGCATCTTGTGCTTTTCAAAATCTCTAACTGCTGGCAAGAACATTCTAGGACACCCTTCGATTGTCTTAAGAGGTGCTTTCAGTGTCTCACCCTTGGGGTTGTGGCTCTGTGAGCAACACATTATGTACCACTCTGCACAGAGGAATCCGATATTCAAAACACCTCCCCTCTATTTTTTAAATCTACCTATGTAAATTATAGCTGACAAAAAAATAATAGTGGAATTGAAATCACATACCAAAATAATGCCACACCCTCCCAGAAGATAATTAAAGGAAAATACTAGGGGAAGGATTCAGGGGAAATACCTCTAGTATATCACTATACATTCTGTTCTTCCCACAGTATCTGTTATGGCCATATTCTACATTGTTATAAGAGTTTAATTGGCCACAGTTTTTGTTTTAGGAAGTTATGTAAAATGCCGTAAATTATGTATATGTTAAATAACTTAACAAAAAAATCTATACCCAAAGTTGTTTTGTATATTTAAATACTTAGCTTTATTTTTTGTAAAGTACAATGTGCTCCCACATTTGTGTAATCTTAGTGATCAGATGTTTAAGATTATTTAAAATACACCATTAAAACCATTATTTTATGATTAAAAAACCAACAAAACACAAAACTTTGCTCAATCACTGACTTTGCAGCAGTTTTCATTGGTAGCCAATCCCTGGAGGATTGTGACCTGCCTGGCAGTGAGTCTCTTATTTATTTTGGACTATGGACATTTGGTTCTGGAATCTCACTTAGATCTAAATTGCTATATCACTTCCTTTGCAGTAGTTACAAATTTGCCTGCTGTTTGACTCACAAAGAATGCTAAACATAGTTATTATGAAAGCTTTTCTTGGCTCGTTGAGTTTCTCTTACCAAGATAATCTTTTTCAAAAATTCTAATAGAAAGCCTTTTTGTGGTATACACATGCGTGGTGTATGTATGGATGTCTTCCACTTTCACCCCTCTATCTTACGTTTGATAACAAGGTCTCACTGAGTCTGGAGCTCACTGTTTGGTCAGGAGTACCTTCCTGACTCCACCACTGAGCCCTGGGATTTCAAGAGTTACCAACATGGCTTTTCACACGGGTGCTGGAACCCACATGGGACTGTATGCTCGCACAGCAGGCGCATACTAACATGACTTTTCACATGGGTGCTGGGGACCCACATTTGGAACCGTCTGTTCACACAGCAGGAGCATACCAACATGACTTTTCATATGGGTGCTGGAGACCCACACTTGACATCGTATGCTCGCATAGCAGGAGCATACCAGCATGGCTTTTCACATGGGTGCTGGGAACCACACTTGGGCACCGTATGCTCACACAGCAGAAGTGTACCAGCATGGCTTTTCACATGGGTGCTGGGGACCACACTTGACACTGTATGCTCGCATAGCAGGATCTTAACACAATATTAAGGATCGTTGATTTTTTTTTTTTAATGTGAATGCTTTGGATCCAACTCAGGTTGTCACATTTGTGCAGCAGCACTCTTACCCACTCAATTGCTTCCCTAGCCTCAATAGTCTTTTTTTCAAAAGAAACATTAAAAAATATTTTTATATTTTGTGTGTGTTTTCATGTGGAGGTCTGAGAACAACTTGCAGGAGTTGGTCTTCTTTTTTATGTGAGACTGGAGATCACTTCAGGTCATCAGGCTTGGCAGCAAGTGTCCTTAACCTGCTGAGCCAGTTTACTGACCCAGCAAGCACGTTTAAAACATATAAAACTCTTCAAACTTACACATGACATATTTGTTTCATTAGGATTTTTTTGAGAGAAATTTATTTAGAATTAAAACTTTATACTGGTGATGATATGGTTCAAGCAGAAAGCACAGCAATGTTAAGGCATAATTTTTAGGAACGTTAACAGGACCAAGGTACTTGCTGATTTGAACTTTCTTTGTTGTAGAATCAGTTAAGTGTGTCTACAAATTGCCCTCAAAAGTTCCAGTTAATATTCTGCAGAGGGGAAAAATCATATTGTGGTCATATGTGTGAATATAGCCTAGTAGAGAGTTTTGCATTGTACCATTCTTGTGATATTCTGTCTCATTTTTCAATGTCACATATAGGCTTCAGGGAAAGCCTGTGAGGGATTATCTTGATGAAGTTTATTGCCTAATCTACGGCACACACAGCTTGTCTCACAGGTTCAAGCTGACTCCACTCTACAGCAAGTTCTTGGTGGTCATCCAATGGTACTGACATCTCCAAAATACTGTACAAATGGCCTGTATCTTTGCCAGTAGCCTTTCATGACCTCTCTTCAAGGACTTTAACTCTGTCACATAGTGCCAGGCCTCCATTTCTCTCCATGAGCCCACTACCTGAGTCTCTACAGCAACTAAGTCTGTATCTTGGCCAATGGACTTTCCTTAGGGTTTGTAGCCCTACCACACGGTACCAAGACTCAGTGGCTCTCCATGAACATTTCATGCCTTTAAAACCAGTACCAGTGAGTGACCCTTAGACTATCAACATCAACTAACAGCACATGATACATCCCTGGATGGCTCTGGAACACAGCTCCTTGTGTGCTGATCCAGAGAAAAGATTTCCAGAAGATTTCCCTTCAGTGATGTCAGTCTCTTCTTAATCACTGCTTATTTCTCAACTTCAGTTGACCAGTATAAACTGTCAGTGGAAAATAAAGGTTTCACATAAGTGGCTCTGGTCTCTTGTAAAGCATAGCCAATTCTGTGGGCTAGTTCTGTGTGAACTTGACACAAGATAGAGTCCTTTTTAGTAGAAGGAACCCCAATCTGAAAATGCCCTTACCTGTTTTGTCTGGGTAAGCCTGTGGTGCATTTTATTGATAGGTGTTCAATGGACAATTCAGCTCTCTGTGGGTGGTGCCACCACTGGGCCGGTAGCCCTGAGTGCTATAAGAAAACATGCTGAGCAAAGCAGTACCTACCACTCCTCTGCAGCCTCTGCCTCTGCTCCAGCAGGAGCCTCTAGTTCCTGTCCTATTGCTCTTCCCTCAGTAGTGTACTGTGTGATGTGGAACTGTAAACTGAAATAAACTTTTTCCTCTTCAAGTTACTTTTGCTCATGATTTTTATATGTTTTACCACAGCCATAAAAAGCCTGTGACACTCACCTTGGGCAAATTATTTTATTTTACTTTTGTTTCCTGTTTGGAAAAAAAAAATATGTGGCCTTTGGGGTGACTTTGAGAATTTAGTAAATGGTTGTGTTTTTATGTAAACCACTCACACATATCACACATACTAGGAAACAATGCAGGAGTAACACTTGTTGTTTGGAGATTTTTAGTAACAGTTTTACATCCTGCCTAACTGCTGTACTTAGCTAAAAGCATAAACCTTAGTGTATTGTTTAAATCTAATTAAAGCTTTACAAATTCCTGTGTGTACCATTGAAACTGGTACAGAAAGTCACAGACTAATTAATACAGAAAGCTATTTAACAGGCTCTCTCTTTCCCTCCCTCCCTTCCTCCCTCCCTCTCTCTCATATATGTGTGTGTGTGTTTGGTGCTGAGGACTGAACTGAGTTTTGTCATACAAAGGTTCTACCACTGAGCTTCATTCCTGTATTACCTACTTGTCCCTGCAACAAAATACCCAACCAGAGATCAACTTAGGGAGGAGAGTTTATTCTGATTCCTGGTGTAAAAGATAAGCAATCCATCAAGGCTGGGGAGGTCTAGTAGCAGGAATGTGAAATAGATGATCATATGCTGTCTGCAGTCAGAAAACAGGTTAGTGCTGGTGTTCAGCTCACTTTTTTTTTAATCCTCACTTTAATTGTTTGGATAGGAATGTGCTATACATTTTCCACCCTCCCCTTCCACCACCACCACCCCGCCCTCTACACTCCCAATTTATTAAGGAAATCTTGTCTTTTTCTCCTTTCTAGGCAGATCAATGTATCTCTCTCTTAGGGTTCTTTTTGTTACTTTGGTTCTCTGGGGTTGTGGCCTGTAGGATGGTTGTCCTTTGCTTTATGTCTATTATCTACTTATGAGTGAGGGCATATTATATTTGTCTTTTTGGGTCTGGATTACTTCAGGATGGCTTTTTCTAGTTCCGTCCATATGCCTGAAATTTGCAAGATGTCATTGTTCTTTACTGCTGTGTATTCCATTGTGTAGATGGACCACATTTTCCTTCTTTGGTTGAGGGGCATCTAGGTTATTTCTAGGTTCTAGCTATTATGAATAATGCTGCTATAAACATAGTTGATCATATGTTCATGTGGTATGAACATCCTTTGGGTACATGCCCAAGAGTGTGGTATTGCTGGGTCTTGAGGTAGAATGATTCTCAATTTTCTGAGAAATGGCCATACTGATATCCAAAGTGGCTGTACAAGACTGTATTCCCACCAGCAATGGAGGAGTGTTCCCCTTACTCCACATCCTCTCCAACATAGGCTGTCATCAGAGTTTTTGATCTTGTTCACTCTGACTGGTATCTGGTATCTCACAGTTGTTTTGATTTGCATTTCCCTGATGACTAAGGATGTTGATTATTTCCTTAAGTGTCTTTCAATCATTTGATATTCCTCTGTTGAGAGTTCTCTGTTTAGCTCTCTACCTCATTTTTTTATTGGATTATTTGGTCTTTTGATGACCAATTTTTTGAGTTCTTTGTATAATTTGGAGATCAGCCCTCTGTCAGATGTGGGGTTGATGGAGATCTTTTTCCATTCAGTAGGCTGCCGTTTTGTCTTGTTGACTGTGTCTTTGCTGTACAGTAACTTCTCTGGTTCAGGAGGTCCCGTTTATTAATTTTTGTTCTCAGTGTCTATACTATTGGAGTTATATTTAGGAAGTGGTTTTCTTTGCCAATGTGTTCAAAGCTACTTTCCACTTTTTCTCCTATAAGGTTCAGAGTGGTTGGTTTTATGTTAATGTCTTTGATCCATTTGGGCTTGAGTTTTGTGCATGGGGATGGATATGGAATTATTTGCATTTTTCTACATGTTGACGTCCAGTTATGCCAGCACTGTTTGTTTTGTGCTTTCTTTTTTCCACTATATAATTTTAGCCTCTTTGTTAAAATTCAGGTTTCCATAGATGTATGGATTGATATTAGGGTCTCCAATTTGATTCCATTTGTCCACCTGTCTATTTTTGTGTTGATACCAAGCTGTTTTCATTGCTATAATTGTAGAGTAGAGCTTGAAGTCAGGGATGGTGCTGCCTCCAGAAATTCCTTTATTGTACAGGACTCTTTTGGCTATCCTGGGTTTCTTGTTTTTCCATATGGAGTTGGGTATTGTCCTTTCGAAATCTTTGAAGAATTTTGTTGGGATTTTGATGGGTATTGTGTTGAATCTGCAGATTGCTTTTGGTAAGATTGCCATTTCTAATATGTTAATCCTACCTATCCAAGAACATGGGAGATATTTCCATTTTCTGGTGTCTTCTTCAATTTCTTTAAACTTTTAAAGTTCTTGTCATGCAGGTCTTTCACTTGTTTGGTTAGAGTTACCCCCAAGATACTTTGTGTTATTTGTGGCTATTGTGAAAGGGTGATGTTTCTGTGATTTCTTCCTCAGCCCTTTTATCATCTTTGTATAGAAAGTCTACTGATTTTTTGAGTTAATCTTGCATCTTGCTAAATTACTGAAGATGTTTATGAGTTGTAGGAGTTCCCTTGTAGAATTTTTGGGATTATTTATAGATATTATATCATCAGCAAATAGTGAAAGTTTGACACTTCTTTTCCAATTTGTATCCCCTTAGTTTCCTTTTGTTGTCTTTTTGCTCCAGCTAGAACTTTGAGTACTATATTGAATAGATATGGAAAGAGTGGACAACTGTCTTCTTCCTGATTTCAGTGGGATCACTGAGTTTCTCTCCATTTAGTTTGATATTAGCTGTTGGCTTGCTGTATATTGCCTTTATTATGTTTAGGTATGTTCCTTGTATCCCTGTTCTCTCCAAGCGCCCCCCCTTTTTTTTAATCATGAAGGGTATTGAATCTTGTTGAAGGCTTTTTCAGCATCTAATGAGATGATGATGTGTTTTTTTTTCTTTGTTTGCTTATATAGTGGATTACATTGATAGATTGTTATATGTTGAACCATCCCTACATCTCTAGAATGAAGTCATTGTGGATGATTTTTTTTTTTGAGGTGTTCTTGAATTCAGTTTGCCAGTATTTTATTGAGCGTTTTTGCTTCGCTGTTCATGAGTGAGATTGGTCTGTAATTTTCTATCTTAGTTGTGTCCTTTTGTGGTTTGGCTATCAGGGTAATTGTAGCCTCATAAAAAGAGTTTGGCAGTGTTTCTTTTGTTTCTATTGTGTGGAACTGTATGGGGAGTATTGGTATTAGCTCTTCTTTGAAGTCCTGGAAGAATTCTGCACTAAAACAATCTGGCCTGGGACTTTTTTTGTTTGGGAGACTTTTGATGACTGTTTCTATTTCCATAGGAGTTATAGTTCTATTTAATTTGCTTTTGTGGTATTGATTTAATTTTAGTAAGTGATATTTGTCATTAAACTTGTTCATTTCCTTTAAATTTTCCAATTTTATGAAGTACAGTTTTTTTTTTTAAAGTATAACTTGATGATCCTCTGGATTTCCTGAGTGTCTGTTGTTATGTCCCCATTTTCATTTCTGATTTTATTAATTTGGATATTCTCTCTCTGTCTTTTGGTTAGTTTGGAAAGTTTTTATAAAATCATGTTGATTTTCTCAAAGAATCAACTCTGTGTCTCATTGATTCTTTGTATTGTTTCTATTTTATTGATTTCATCCATCTATTTGATTATTTCAAGCCATCTATTTCTCCTGCATGTTTGCTTCTCTTTGTACTAGAGCTTTCAGTTGTTCTGTTAATTTTCTAGTATAGGATTTCTCTAGTTTCTTTGTGTAGGCATTTAGTGCTATGAACGTTCCTCTTATCACTACTTTCATTGTGTCCCACAAGTTTGAGTGTGTTGTACTATCATTTTCATTGAATTTTGGGCAGTCTTTAATTTCTTTATTTCTTTCTTGACCCAGTGGTGAATCAGTTGAGCATTGTTCAGTTTCCATATGTTTATGGGTTTTCTATAATTAGTGTTGTTGAATTCTAACTTTAAGCCATGGTGATCTGATAAGATACAGGATTTTGTGTATCTGTTGAGGTTTGCTTTGTTACTGAGTATGTGGTAAATTTTAGAGAAGGTTCCATGGAGTGCCAAGAAGAAGGTATATTCTTTTGTGTTTGGGTAGAATGTTCTACAGATATCTGCTATACGCATTTAAGTTATACCATCTGTCTATTTTTTGGTCTGGCAGACTGTCCAGTGGTGGTAGTGAGGTATTTAAGTCTCCCACTATTAGTGTGTGGGGCTTGGTATGTGATTTAAGCTTTTGTAATGCTTCTTTTGCGAATGTGGGTGCCCTTGTGTTTGAGGCATAGATGTTCAGAATTGAGACTTCATCGCAATGAATATGAAATGATCTTCTTCATCTCTTTTGACTAATTTTGGTTTGAAGTCTATTTTGTTAGATATTAGGACAACTACACCAGCTTATTTGTTAGGACCATGTAACCAAAATCTTTTCCCAACTCTTTCATCTGAAGTAATGTCTGTTTTTGTAATTGAGGTGTGTTTCTTATATGCAACAGCAGAATAGATTCTGTTTTCAATATGTTTTACTGTCTCTTTATAGGTGAATCGAATCCATTGATATTAAGGGATAATAATGTCTAGTGATTACTATTTGTTATTTTTGTTTTGTTGTTGTTGTTGGTGTTATGTGTGTGTTTCTCTTTATTCAGAAATTCCTCATGTGGGATTATCTATTGCCTGTGATTTTGTGGGTGTATCTAACTTCCTTGGGTTGGAGGGTTTTTTTCCCTGTACTCTCTGTAGGACTGGATTTGTGGATAGGTATTATTTAAATAATGATTTTTGTATTGGAATATCTTGTCTTCTCTATCTATGGTGACTGAAAACTTTGCTGGTTGTAGTAGTCTGGGCTGGCATCCATGGTCTCTTAGTGTCTAAATAATCCCTGTTCAGAACTTTCTGGCTTTCATTGTTTCCATTGAGAAGTCAGGTGTAATTCTGATAG